TGATTTGTTAGTATTTTATTTAAGGCTTTCCCCATTGTTATTAGTCTACAGTTTTCATTTGTGGAGCTCTCTTTGACAAGTTTTGGTAATTGTGATGGCTTTCTTTCTTTTATTAGACTCCATGGTAGTTTGTTTATTTCTTGAAGTTCTGAAATAATTCTCCGTCCCCTGTGAAATCATTGGGATGGGGTCTGGCATTTGAGAGGAGGAGGGAAAGTATTTAATAATCTTCTTAATTTCTTGCTATATGTTTTCTATTTTTTTCTGGGGTAAATTTTGCTAATTTATACTTTCCTAGAAAATCCCCTGTAGATCCAGGTTTTAAAGTTAGTTTGTATATTTTTGCTAAGAATTCTCATAATTATTTTGGGTTAATCTGAATCTGTCATTACTTCTCCTTTCTTGGTTTGTGCATCTCTTCATTCCACTCTTGTCTTCTTTATCCTTATTCCTGTCTTCTTTTTGTCATGTTGACATTGGCGCACCAGTAACTGGCCTTGCCCAGTGACTCAAGAGCTGGGAATCTGCTCCTCTGCTCACTCCTGGTCAAGGGCTGAAGGCAGGAGTCTTGCCCACCCCCACCCAGCCAATCCCTTCTCCCTTGGCCATGAAGAGTTTCACGGTCATATTGTAGTACCAGTTGGGTCACTTTCCCAACAAATCAGAGTCTATGGTGGTACTTACATTGCTCACATTAAGAGCGTTTGCTCTAGCGAGATTAATTTCTGGAGTATCTGGCATTATGTGGACTGAAGTTTTATCCTTGTCCCAAACCTCTCTGTACTTTGGCTATGGAAAGAATCAATAATAACAAAATTATTTCACAATTTGTAATTTTGTAAGTGCCAGCGCACAACTTAAAACTTTTCTTTTGGATCTGATCCAAACTCTTTTCATATTAAGGCAAAGAGGTCTAGAATCTTTTTACATAAGTTTCTCAAATTTGATATGAAATCTGTGTTAATGCCTTTTATTAATACTTTTTGTTTAAATTAATAAGAAAAACCAAAACGATACCTTCAACATTACTTATTAAACTTTTTGTCATCAATATTATTATCATCCTAGAAATAGATTACCAGATTATTTATTATTTGTTTAAGGCAATAATTTAATTTTAATAGAGAGGAAAAAGTGACTTACAATACTGATATTTTCAGCATTTGATTTAGCAAGGACAACGTCAGGTGTGTCAACAATGCTCGTGTACTTCAGGTTCACCACAGGTGTCCGATAGATGCTGTCGCTCAGGATCTCCTGGGCATTTTTGACTCTCAGTACTTCAGGAGACCCTTCAGGCATCCAGCCAATGCCACGCAGCCACTCCAAGTCAGCCTTGTAGATGGCCTGGGAAAAAAACAAAGTTATGTAGAAGCAGGGTTTGCTGTTGTTATTGTTGTTTTGGTGGTAAAGTAAAAGTTTCTATATTTTATCTTCCACAAGCAGTAATAAAAAGAGAGCATTGGCCTGACGTAATGTCTCATATGCT